TGCCACAAATATTTGGACAAATGTGCCACAAATACTGCCTAAACAAAATACTGATTTTGTGCACTTTATTTACTGTACCAATATTTTAAATTGGCCTTTGAACTTAGCTTTATTGCATGGCAAAAAAAGTGTTATCTTGCCAAAGCACTGACAGAGCCCACTGATCTAATGGCATTGTTGAGCGCTCCAGATGCAAACTTTGCATGCAACAATCAGGTAGCAATTGACAGCACTCTGATCTAGTGGCATACAGGCATCGTCAGATTGACAGTACTCTAGCCAAATAATGTTGGGGGATCCAGTGGGGGCGGCAGTCATATTTCAGGGTGACCGTGCCACTCTTTATCACAACCCTGCTAAAAGTGCCAGTATGTGCGCTCATTGGCGCCCCTTCAGCTGGTGGCGCCCTAGGCGACCGCCTAGCTCGCCTATGCCTAGAAACGGCCCTGGATACCGGCATATCCGTACACTACACACATTAATACTGTATAGAACATACTTTTTCCATGGTTCTGAAGTAATTAATTACAAAATAAGTACCTGCTCAAAGAGCATGTGTTGATGTGTAGAGGGGTCTAAAATGCTTTTTGTCCTACAGATAAACTTAAAAGTAGTAGATCTAAACTTTTTTTGACTCAAATGTCCCCTATTGCTAATACAATATTTGATGATTCATTTTGTGATTCCAGAAATTTCAAGAACTGTATGTTGTTCACTGGATTCACAAAAAATCTCTCCATGAAGCTGTATCTCTTAATTTCACTGGATTCACTTCACTGGATCCGCTACAATTTGCATATCGTAGCAACCATTCCACAGACGATGCTATTGCTTTCACTCTACACACTGCCCTCTCCCAAATAAGAACACCTATGTGAGAATGCTGTTTGTGGACTACAGCTCAGCATTTAATACCATAGTGCCTGCCACACTTGTTGTGAAGCTCCAGACTCTGGGACTAAACAGATCTCTGTGCAGCTGGATCCTGGACTTCCTGACAGGCAGAAGTCAGGTGGTCAGAATGAGCAACAATACTTCATCCCCGCTGACCCTCAACACTGGTGCTCCTCAGGGCTGTATCCTCAGCCCACTCCTGTACTCCCTGTACACACATGACTGTGCAGCCACACACAGCTCCAACGTCATCGTCAAATTCGCTGACGACACAACGGTGATAGGCCTGATCACTGACAACGATGAGATGGCCTACAGAGAGGAGGTGAGCTCCCTGACTAAATGGTGTCAGGAAAACCATCTCTCACTCAACATCGACAAGACCAAGGAGCTTGAGGTGGATTTCAGGAGACAGAGCAGAGAACACACACCCATCACCATCGACAAGACACCTGTGGAGCAGGTAAACAGCTTTAAGTTCCTCGGCGTTCACATCAATAAAGATCTCACATGGTCTACACACACTGATGCAGTGCTGAAGAAGGCACATCAACGTCTCTTCTTCCTGAGACGGCTGAGGAAGTTTGGAATGAGCCCCAGCATCCAGCAAATAAAAATAACATGGCCCCCATATTTACATGTCCATAACATTTATTTGGTTCAGCTTATTTGGTTATGTGATTCAGGTTTCCCAAAGAGGCCATTGTTGAAAGATGAGGCAGTTAAAACTGTATTAGATTCAGTCAGAAAAGAGACAAAATACTTTGGAACCTCAAACATTAAAAATGCTCAAGAAAGAGCATGATCACAACACTTGAGCTGAATATACATTTCCTAAACTTGACCTCTCCCCAAGGGCAAGACATTTAAAGCACCCGAATACATCTCGAGTCTGTAATTCAAAGAAGATTCTGCTTTCCCAGAATGCAGCAGTTTGGAGCCCTGTGGTCAAGCGTCTGTTTATATTAACCTCTAATCTGCTCTCCCTCGAGATAGGCCAAAGAAATAGGCCATGGCACGCATATACACACACTCTTTCGTGGAAATGAAAACCAAACATGGAAATGAGCAAATACTTTAATAGGTGCCTTCTTTGCCTTTCCTAGAATTCCCTCCAATTGAGTATCTCAATAAAAATACAGACAGGAATTAGTGGGGTGGTGACAGTTGCAGACAAATCATATGCCTGTTCTGTTATTACTTTAATAAAATATGGCTAGGGTAGGATCGGTTTTATTTGCTCAGCATACGGTCTGATTGAATGATTTTTAAAGGTCTGAGAGCACCACTGTAAACAGCAGGCCGAGTGACTCAGGGACCGAGACGTAGTGTGTTTGACTAACCTTTTCTGCCGTGAGCTCTCGGATCACGCTCATCTGTCCACGGAACTTGAAGAGCAGGGCCTCGAGGGCCATGTACTTCTCTTTCCACTCCCCGCCTGCGCTTTCATCGCCCTCCGCCATGCCGTCACCCCTCAGGCCCTGCCACATCACATACACAGTATGAGACCCAAGCAGATGGACACACAGAGCTTGTAGTAGAAGACCACTCAAGACGATATACTAATGAAGATAAGACTAAATATGAATCAGATGCAGGACTAGCTGGGTGAAATAGCAAAGCAATTATATCTTGATATTTTTCAGCCTCTTCAAGATATTTGATATGCATCTTGATATTTCTATAATTGCTCTTAGGAACCATCATTTTGACCAACCAGCCACATTTTAACATTGAAAAATAGATGTCAGTTGTTGTTTAACATTGAAAAATGTTGAAACAATGCTTAATGCTTATATAGAAAGTTAACAAATTACTTACAAATTAATGTTTATTTCCTTATGTTGAAAAGATGTAAAAATAATATTGCAATATCAATGAATGCTGATCCCATTTGCAACATCAGAACAAACATTGCAATGCTGTCTGAGCATTTCGATTCTAAACGTTTAAATGCAAGAACTAAACTGCAGTAAAAATCAATTTAACAATTATTTAAGCATGTATCGACATAATTATCTGCCTGCATTTTTACTGAAACATTGCAGTATATGAAAAATGTCAGAAAGGGACTTGATTTTTGTGATGATGAAAACTAACTGCTGAATCAGGTATATGAATTAGTTCACAGAAACTCCGTTTGAAATGATTCGTGGAAATTGGAAACATAATGGCCAAACAAACAAGTCAGCGTGTGACTGACCTTCAACATTGCAAAAGCAATATCGGTTGTTTCAGTGATGAAAAAACAAACCTGAAACAACATTGAAACGACGTCTAATGGTTATAAAATGTACTTCAATTACATCAAATAAGTACTTAAAATACTTACACATCAACCAACAATGTTGCAATATTAACAGTGATTTGATTACCAATATCAAAACAAAATTCAAGAGTGATTCATCCTTGACCCATGATGAAATACAGACTGGGAAAGCACATCAAAATAATCATCATCATGAATAGCAAAAATGTCTAGAAAATGTGCTTCTTCCACAGCTTGACTTTTCACAACTTGCACAGAAATCTGATTAATACAGGCATATGCCAGCTGTCGATATTAACCGAAATGTTCATAGATGCTTGATATCAGAGATAAACTTTTACTTTAATCAGTTGGAAAGAAACCGTATTGGTTGGAGAAAGAGGCAGTGAAAATGATTGGTCTCGGAGAGGCCACAGGCAGAGCCCTGGACAAACTGAGCACCACTATAATAAAAAAAAAAACCCCCACCAGCCAGCACTGATGCACCATCATCACACTTTTCCATCATAAAAGTTTTAATTATGACAAACATGTGTCAACTGATGTAAAGCAGGTGGGGGAAAGCACAACAGCACATTTCATTACAACTTCTCTACAACTCTTGGTTACAATAAGCTCTCATTAAAGCATTGGCACGGGCACAAAGAGAGTGTAAACATGTGTTGAGCTCAATTAAGCTGTTCTGGTAAATAACACTGAGGGGTTGAATCTCAACCAATGTGGATAAAAACATGTTTTACAGTGGAACAACCTCCTTATGAGGAAAAGTTAGGGAAAGTGAACCAATAACAGGGTCATTAAGTCTAGATCTAGAAGTGTATACAAGTACATACAGTAGAAGATCAGGAAGGTAATGAGATTAAAATGCTCTCTTCATAACCATTAAAAGTATAAATACATGTTTAGTTAAGAGGTCTCCAATATGGTACACATAGAACATTTATGTTGTGAATTGCACAGTTGGGACCAGGTATGAATCTCCATCTGAGGACTAGAAGGAGTCTAATGCAGAGCAAAACACACAATGATTCAACATAACATTATCTGCATTACATAAACATTTCAACCTAAAATATTTAGATTCAAATGGTCTATGGGTACATTATGTGTTATCTAACGCAGCTAGTGATAGATTTGTGTTCATGAAAATGAACAGAATATACAGAACCAAACTGAGTTTCAGTTATATCAAATCAACTATTAATAGTGCATTTCAAACGTATTCAATAATAAGCCTTTCATTTTCAAAATCACTTTTGAAGTAATCAACAGGGTGCATTCTGGTAAATAACACTGAGGGGTTGAATCTCAACCAATGTGGATAAAAACATGTTTTACAGTGGAACAACCTCCTTATGAGGAAAAGTTAGGGAAAGTGAACCAATAACAGGGTCATTAAGTCTAGATCTAGAAGTGTATACAAGTACATACAGTAGAAGATCAGGAAGGTAATGAGATTAAAATGCTCTCTTCATAACCATTAAAAGTATAAATACATGTTTAGTTAAGAGGTCTCCAATATGGTACACATAGAACATTTATGTTGTGAATTGCACAGTTGGGACCAGGTATGAATCTCCATCTCAGGGACTAGAAGGAGTCTAATGCAGAGCAAAACACACAATGATTCAACATAACATTATCTGCATTACATAAACATTTCAACCTAAAATATTTAGATTCAAATGGTCTATGGGTACATTATGTGTTATCTACCGCAGCTAGTGATAGATTTGTGTTCATGAAAATGAACAGAATATACAGAACCAAACTGAGTTTCAGTTATATCAAATCAACTATTAATAGTGCATTTCAAACGTATTCAATAATAAGCCTTTCATTTTCAAAATCACTTTTGAAGTAATCAACAGGGTGCATTATATATATATATATATATATATATATATATATATATATATATATATACTAATGCACTTATTTGAATAATTATATATATAAAATGTATATTTAAGTAAGTTACTCTTTATATTCCCTTTGCCAAGAAACATAAACAATACTTTTTTTGTTAATAGTTAAAGATGTTACGCTTACCCGGGAATCTGTGTTACAGTGCTGAAGATGGCACTCTTTTCATCACCATAATAAAAATAATACTCCGTGTCGTCGCAGTCGTTTTTGCACTAATGACCTAATTATGAAATAAAGAGCGACCGTTGTCTAGCTCAAAGTTTTCACTCCAGCATCGTCCTGTGGAAGTAGGCGGGACCGGGGGCGTGTTTTTACGAGCAAGCACAATCAAACCATTGTAGGTGTGGTTAGGTGTCATGAATGATTGACTTTTCGTGGACCAATCACGCATCAGAAGTGCTGTGCCTGAACCAATCATATTTGTGCTGGGCGGGCTTCCAGCGCGACTTCAGAATGTATGCTATGTTGCTGTGGAAATACTTATTTCTTCTTGTAGCATTGACCTTTTTCACCGCTTCCTGCTTTGTTACAAAGGTGTGGCAGTATATTTTCATATCTCAGACTGTTTTGAATGTGTAGGTAAGCGGCGTGTTCGGTGTGGAGGAGAATGTAGTTTAAAAAGCTGCAGGAAACAGTAACGTGACTAGCACTAGGTATCACATTAGGTTGAGCCAGAGCTGCTATAACCTCCTTAAGTTGGTCTTCTGCAGTTGTTGTATGATCGTTTGAAGTAATTATACAATTCATTTATGACACACATCTGCAGTTGGCGTTTTGTCTCGGGTCTAGTCATGGTTGTGAAGAAGAAAGCACCTGAAGTGGAGGCTGTAGCTTTGGATGCTGTCAAGCTGAAGAGCCTGACAGGTGAGTGACCGAAATCAACTTTTTGTGCTTGTGCATATAGTTTCCTGTAATATCTCATGCCTTCTCTCAGATGCCCTGTCTGTGGATGGGGATAGCAGATCCACAGAGCTCGCTCAGGTGCTCTAAGGTCGGTCTGCATCACAGTCTTCATCATAGATCTTCACTGAATTATACTGAATGTAATCACTTTTTAATTAATTGGTTTGTATGTTGACTGCAGGCAGGTTTCCTGTTGGAGCAGTTGAGAAAGCATGAGTCCCCTATGAGTCCTTTACTGCCTGAGCACACTAGCTTTTCTTTTTACCACACTGCCAGCTAAGAACCCACTTAAAGCGATAGTTCACCCAAAAATGAAAATTCTGTCCTCATTTACTCACCCTCAAGTAGTTCCAAACCCGTATAAATGTCTTTGTTCTGCCGAACAGAAAGGGAGATATTTTGAAGAAAGTTTGTAACCAGGCTGTTTTGGGGCACCATCGACTTCCATAGTAGGAGAAAAAAATACTACGGAAGTCAATGGTGCCCCAGAACTGCTCGGTTTCCCACATTCTTCAGAATATCTCCCTTCGTGTTCTGCAGAACAAAGACATTCATACAGGTTTGAAACTACTTGAGGGTGAGTAAATGAGGACAGAATTTTCATTTTTTGGGTGAGCTATCCCTTTAAGAGAGCTGTAGCAAGGTTAAAAGTACCCACATTTCGCTGTCACGTTTGAAGATATTGACTTTTGGGGTTTTGTGCGCACATTTATCTGTTCAACACACTGGCGTCATCTTTTTCTTCTCCACCAGTGCACTAGGTAGTGGTCCAGATTGGCTGCAGGAGCAGACTCTTGGATGTCTGTCTGAGATCCTGTCGTCCTGTCTCTCCTCTACGAGCACGGATCACTGCTCACACTTAACAGATAGCATCACTGCCTGTCTGGATGGCTTTAAAATCGGTATGTCTAAGTGATGTTATTTTATTAGAATTGATCATAATATCACATACACACTGCTTCAAAATTTTGGAATCTGTTTTTTTTTTTTTTTTTTTTAAAGAAATTAATACTTTTAATCAGCCACGGATGCATTAATTAATAGTGACACTGCATGCATTTATAATTACAACGTTTTGTGATTTTACCATTACAGAAATATTAGAATTTTAAATAAACGCTGTGCTTTTAAACTTTTCTATTTTTCTATATTTTAAGAAGAAGAAAAAAACATCACAGTTTCCAGAAAATTATTAGGCAACACAACTAGTTTCAACATTGATGGTAACAATAAGAAACGTTTCTTGAACATCCAATCAGCATTTTAGAATGATTTCTGAAGGATCATGTGATACAGAAGACTGGCGTAATGATGCTGAAAATTCAGCTTTACCATCACAGGAATAAATTGCACTTTAAAATGTATTAAAATAGAAAATGGTTATTTTAAATTATAATACTTTTTCGTAATATTACTGTTTTTACTGTATTTTTTGGTCAAATGCATCCTTGGTGAGTATTAAAATAAAAAAAATCAAATGTTTCCGACCCCAAGTGATAGTGCTTGCAGTGTAATGTATTTTAAAATTGTTCTGCTTGGTTTACAGGCGAGAAATGTGTTCTTCGTTTGCTAACAGAAGGTTTTTTCTCTCTCATAGTCCTCCAGTTCTTCCAGAGGACTTTTAATTATTATGTGGAGCAGAACAGGTAAACTGTTCAATATTGTATTGTATAATGTGCTGTATACATGGACGAGAATGTTGACATCTAATTCCTAATACCCAGAATTCTTGTAACATGTTTCTTTCTCTTATCTGTAACATGGTTTATTGTTGTTGACATTTGATGTGTTGTTCAGGGGTCTGGCCAGTCATCATGTGGCCCAGGCTCAGCTGATGCAGTCCTGTCTGGCAGCGGTGAAGGCCTCAATGCTGGTGTTTCAGAGATCTCAGGAACCCATCAGTACCGCAGTGCTTTCAGCTTCAAATGATCAGTCTGATCTATGTCAGGCTCTCAGTGGACTAGTCAACTGCTATACATGTATCTTGACTGATGGTAAGACCACCATATTCTTCAGATATATATATATATATGTATGTATGTATGTATGTATGTATGTATGTGCATATATATATATATATATGCTGTTATTTCTGTATGTATTTTGTATTATATTTAAGTTCTTTTCCCGTTTAGAAGAATTGTGTTC